GAAAAAAAAAACCAAACCAAGCACATACCTGATGCTGCCTTAATTTTCTGCAGCTCAGTGAAAGATGTTGAGAAGACAGAGCTGGAATAGCCTGGGAAATGGAAGAAGGTGTGAAGGAGAGGGGGCTGGCAGAACAACTCACTTCCTTGTCTCAGTCATCTTTGTCCCAATGCCTCTTTTGTGTGTTAATTTGGGCTTTTGATGTCTGTGTTCAGTCATCACTGAATGAATTTCTCTTTAAGGCTGGGGATGCTGCTTGCTTCTATGATATCAAACTAGGTAGAAGACGTGTAGAGCACCACGATCACGCTGTTGTGAGTGGCAGACTAGCTGGAGAGAACATGACGGGAGCTGCAAAGCCCTACTGGCATCAGTCTATGTTCTGGTAATGCTGAGTGCTTTAAAGCTGCTTATTTGACCATGCTGTTAGGAGCTCTGACAAGATACACCTCGTAAAGCTTCCTGTTTTCAGGCTGCAATGAATGCAGAGCAAATAACCTGTGCAGCTTATTTGCAGAGTCTCAGGGAGCACACGTGAGCTTTCACTGCCCTGCCTTCTCTAAGTTATTCTTTGCCCCTGCAGAATCCAGTTTCTCCCTGATTGTGTATCATTCAACAGAGCAAGAAGCAAAGAAATAGCAGCCCTTTTCTTCAAGCAGGTTGATCTGCACCCTAAACTTCACAACTTCTGTTAGAATTATTGGGAACTCCCCAGCACAATCTGTTGGTTTCAGTTCTGGTGAACCTTTGCTGATCAGCTCCACTGGTGCCTTGGTAGCAACACAGCAGTGCACCCAGGCCTGTTTTTGAAAGCATTTGTAAGGAATGAAGAAAACAAAGCATTTTCTTTTAAATTCTTTAAAAAGAGGGCAAAAATTGGTCTGCTGGCTCAGAATGCACCAGAAGTAGAGTGAGCACAAGTTTAAATGTGGGAAAAGAGCTTTTGCTCCTGGGGGAAGAACCCCCTCCAAAAAGAATTCCTTACGACTCCTCATCACGTGTCTGAACGCTGGGTCTGTGCCACATGGGCTCTGCACACAGAGCATTTATTACTCAGCTGTTAAACAAGGATACTGAAGCACCTTTTAACTGTGTGTTTTCCTGGGAGGTGCTCTGTGAGACTGGGGGCTGTGAGCTGCAGCCTCAAGTGTGGCCAGGAGGCGTGAAGTGAAAGCCTGCCAGCCTTTGCTGGCTTAGATGTCCTGTTCCTGTGCTAAAAAGCTGCCAAACAGCAGGAAATCCTTAAACGTTTTCCCAGTGCTCAGAATTCCTGCAGAGCTCCTTGGTTCTAACTCAGAAGGACGAGGCATTCGGGTAATGCATGAATGTAACAATGTTATAATTAAGAAATACACAGGAAAGTCAGGCTAAACAGGTTATCACACTAAAGAACGGATGGAAAGCTTACCTTAGGGCTCACTGAGAAGACTCCAAGAGGAGCAATCTCCAGCAGAGATCCTTCCCCACTGGCAGTCAGCTCTTAAATGGGGTCCAGGAGAGGTGCAGCCAGGCTCCATCCCTTCCAGTAGCACAGAATTGCCTTCACCTGTGCTCCCAGGGCTGACTCAGAGCTCAATCTGAGGTTCAGGCCATGATTCAGCAGCTCCCACACCCTCTGATCAGGTGGCCTCATCTGGAACCCAGAGAAGCACTTGCTTCTGCCCCAGCTCTGCAAGTTTCATTGGCACTCATTGAACAGCACAGAAGATTTCTGGCACTTCCCACTAATTGTGTACCTACTGCCTGTGTCCTGATGCCCCTGTCTGGCTCCTGAGCTTAGGTGTGTAACTTCCTAAAGGGTGAAGGTGCACACAGCTCACGGAAGCAGCCTGGCTTCCTTCAAGGAGAAATCTGACACATTTTGAGTTCCCCGTTGGTTAAACTGGTTGCTTCTGTGATGGATGCACTGTCCTGATTCCTCCTTACGCGACGCTGTCGGGAGGATTTGGGATCGCTGCGTGTTTGCGATGCTGCTCCTACAGATGAGCTTTGTTGTTTATGCCTAGGAGCGATCTGGGTCCTGATGTGGGCTATGAAGCAATCGGCCTCGTCGACAGTACCTTGCCTACAGTCGGGGTCTTTGCTAAAGCAACAGCAAAAGACACACCAAAATCTGCAACAGAGCAGTCAGGTGGGTTCCTGGCCTTCCTTGGGAGCTGTGTGCCTGCATGGAGGCTTTTGTGGCCGGCTCTGTGCGGCCGCAGGGAGGATCTGGTCTCATCTGGGTGCTCTATTCTAGACCAACCTATAAATGCTGGTTTTGATGTTAAAATGTGATTAAAAACATAATGTTCCACTGGGGCAAAATGCAGTTTATTTACCATATTAAAAGGGGAGGTTTAGATGAGGTACAAGGAAGAAACTCTTTCCTTGGGGGGTGATGAGGTACTGGCACAGCTTGTCCAGAGAAGTTATGTGTGTCCCATCCCTGGAGGTGCCCAGGGCAGGGTTGGATGGCCGTTCCCATGGTGTGGGGTTGGAAGCAGTTGATCTTTGAAGGTCTCTTTGAACCCAAACCATCCTGTGATTCTGTGGTGTGTTTGGCTGTGGAAGCTGGAAGCTGTCAGAGTTGTGCTTTGTGTTAGGATTGCTTCTTTATTGTGTTATAGAAGCTTTTGCTGGACACAACTCCAAAGAAAGCACACCTAAATCTTTTGCAGAAGCCATCTGCCTGTCCTGCTTTCCCCAGCACAGAGAGCTCCTCCTTTTTTCTGCACTGGATGTTTGATGTCTCCCATCTTTGCCTTAGGGACAGGTATTCGATCAGAAAGTGAAACAGAAGCAGAAGCCTCCGAAGTTCCCATTTCTCCAAGCTCTTCACCAACGCCTCAAGTTCCAAAAGAAGGAGAAGATTATGGCAAAGGGGTCATTTTCTACCTCAGGGATAAAGTGGTGGTGGGAATTGTATTGTGGAACATCTTCAACAGGATGCCTATTGCTCGAAAGGTCAGTAGAGGACGAGTGTGCTGAAGCAGGGGGCTGTGGCATTCAGCTTGCTTAGATCCAGGACTTTCTTGTGGAAAAATCAATCTATCAGTAGATAGTGAGGATACATAAAGGCAGATGTTGTTCTAGCATGAAATTACCAGCACGATAAATGAGAGGAGAGCAGTGGATATCGTCTTTCTGGACTTGATTACGACTTATGACACTGGACCTCTCCTCACAAACAAACTGATGCAGCCGGGGCTGGGTGAGCAGGGAGGTGCACTGCAAAGTGGCTGAAGGGCCAAGGCCAGAGGGTGGGGATCAGAGATGCAAAGCCTGCTTGGCAGGGGACCCCAGGGTCAGTGCATCCCACTGTGTTGTTTATAGGACATACGAGTTTGAATGCATGTTTCCTTCTTTCAGATCATCAAAGATGGGGAGGAGCATGCTGATCTCAATGAAGTAGCAAAGCTTTTCAACATCCACGAAGACTAAACTCCAGGATCACTGCAATAGGAGGAGTGAGTAGGGCTGTGTTTGTCCCTTCCGTTTGGAGAGCTTGCTTTGAGCACTTGTGAATATTTCCCATCACCCAGAATTCTAATATTTCACCAATAAAGTCAGATTCTTCTAAGTTAAGTGCCTCCTTCCTGCACTTGTTGCATTGCTGGTTTTGAAAGGGCAGCCTGTGGCGTGTTGCTGCTGGTAGTTTTTCCCTCTTATCAACACCAGAGAAGCCTGCAGAGGTGTTGTTTTCTCACAGCACTGTGTGGCTGATGAGCTTTCTGCCCTGACTGGGTGGAGGGCTGTGCTCGTGGTAACAAATTCTGCCCTCATGGGACGAAATAGTCCTTGGAGCAGCTAAGTTACAACCTGCTACACTAAGGCTGCCTGAAGACCCTCCAGCTCACTTCCCCTCCTTCTGTCTGTGATTTGAGTCAGGGATCCTAAACGTTTCAGTGCTGCTGTTGATTTGTCCTGTTTGATTCATACTTGCACCACGTTGTATCACACTGGGCAAGCATGGAACCTCACCTGGTGTTGGGATGGGAGCACAGAAATGAGCCATCTACCCTCTCAATTTTTGAGGCTGCCCTTTGCTGCTCTGTTGTTCCCCTACGAACGATGCCACGTGCAGTGCTGTACCCCTCAGGGTGGTGGGGCACAGCCCAAGCTTTCCTTTCACTGCACTGTGAAGGCATTCCTGCCCCCCTTGGTCTCCTGTTCTGCAGTCTGCTCAGCAACTGGACAGAAGTGATGGAGAACCTTACTGGGTCTAAGGCTGAAGGCTCACCTGGACAGGGCCTTGATTACAGGGATTGGAATGGGCCTGCAGTGTGTTTAGGTGCCAGCCTGACAGTGTCTTCAGAAAGCTTAGAAGTTCCTCTACTATTTTCTCCAGGCCTCAGGGAGGGGCACCAGGGAACCACTGCTCTCACCAGAGCTTCAGGCTGGGCTCAGCCAAGTCCGAAGGGCAGCACGAGGCCAGCATCTGCATCCATGGAGAGCTAGGAGAAAACCAAAGTGAAAGCCAAGAAACGTTGTTTCTTCAGGCTGGGTTTGTTCACCACGAGATCCCCGCTCCCTCTCCGAGTTCTTTGTTTTGGCACAGGGTGATGATGAGAAAGGGGAGCTGGCAAACCATGCTGTCCAGATGCGGGCACAGGGGGAGGGCAGCCCGGCTGGCAGCAGAGCTGCTGCACCTTCCTCCTGCCCCTGGCAAGTCCCAGGGAATCCAATGCAGCTGCTCTCACCCAGGTGAGGAGCTACAGCACAGGTTGCAGTCCTACACAGGTTAATGAGGGACTGCTGCAGTCCTGGGGCTCGTCCTGCTGGCAGCCAAGGCCAGCACACCTCCTGCAGTGCTGCCACTCCCCCCAGAGCTGCAGGGCCTGAGAACAGCAGGCACGGAGACCTCCCCCAGCCCTCACACCACCAACAGCACAGCCCCCTCCCCAGCCTCAGGCCCCTGGCTGATGGGAGGCAGCTGGAGTCCCTCCCTCCACTGCAGCCCCGCGGCTCTGCTGGGCACAGCGGGCACCGTACAAAGAAGAAGAGGCAAGAGACAGGGGGCCTGATGCAGGTTTTTTTCTGTACATAAGTGTTTTTGACACCACAGCCTGTTGCTTATAATAAAACAGAAATCAGAAAGAGCAGCCAGAATAACACACCCAAAGGCAAAAATCCTCGGCTTAAAAAAGGAGTGGCCAGACCCCAGTGAGGGGAGGCCAGCAGCTGGGAGTCCAAGGGGGAAAGGTACACCTGCCCTGGCTGGGAAGAAACACAACACAAAACAAAACAAAAAAATGAACCCAAAAAAAGAAACCAAACACCCAGTGCTCCCACTGCTGAGCAGAGGAGAGACAGGAAAAAAAAAACCCGAACCAAAAAAACAGATTGTCCCATCCTCAGAGTCCTGTTAGCACCTGTACAATAAAACTGTACCATCTACCGGGAGCGCAGCAGCCCTGCCCTGTGCCTTGCTCTCTCCGGTAGAACTGCTCCCAACGACACAGGAGGGGCAAAGGCTGAGCAGACACCGTGCAGGGCAAGAGGGGAGAGACCCCGGGGGGGGGGCTGAGCTGCTGGAAGTGTGGGCTGCCTCTGTGACAGCTGTTGGGGGCAGGGAGCAGCAGTGTGACCGAAACGCAGGATGGAGCCTGGTGAGGATGGAGCAGAGCGGGTGAGAGTGCCTTCAGCAGAAGCCAGCTCCAATGCTAAGAGATGGGACCGTCCCCAGGCTCTCAGCCGAGGTGCCAGAGCCACAGACCCCAGTTCTGCAGCTCGGGGTGGTGCTCCAGGGGAGCGCAGGCCCTGGGGAGTGCTGCAGAGGGGCCGCAGGAAGCCCTCGTCCCGTAGCCCGGAGCTCACATAATCACAGTGATACAGATTGCAAAAACAAAAGGAAACGTAACAAATTAAATACTAATTAAATAAATACTATGGAAGACATCGGGGGTGGGGGTGGAGGGCAGACAGAGAGGTGCAGTTCCGCGGGGTCGGGCGGGGAGGGGCGATGGCACCCATTGCCCCACGCTGCAGAAGAGCTTGAGCCGATCGCTGCCCCACGCTGCCCCACAGAGGGCCCACCTCCCTCTGCCGCTGCTGGATGGGGCTGCCAGAGCCGCGACCGCCGCCGCTCAGCACAAAGAAACCCCAGGAAGTCCTTGGAGGCAGCGTCCTCTCCCCCCAGCCAGCACCGAGGCACCGCCGGGAGGAGGAGATCAGCTGGCCGAAGCCTCAGGTCCTTGCTGCTGGCTCGAAGAGGGCTGCTTCCCATTGGTCCTTATTATTGCCTCACGATGCAGGGAGCGATCTGCCCCCCGTCAGCTGCTCCACGCCTCGTATTCCACCGCGGAGCCCAGCAGCTGCAGCAGCTCGGGCTCATAGTGCACCAGCTCCACTGTCTCTGCAGCACCCTGCGCCGGCTCAGGGCTCTCCTGCACCTCGTCCTGGGCCAGCACCTGGCTGAGGGCCACCTGGCGTTGGAACTCAGCCCTGGGCAACGTGGCAATCTCAAAGTGTGGGAAGCGGGCCTGGAAGATGCGGGAGGACAGCTTCAGCCGCTTCAGCACGTCGGAGAAGAGGAACCAGTTGCAGGGCCTGCGAGGATAGCGAGGTCACGCGTTAGGGAATGCACCAGCAGCATTCCCAGCCAGCAGGAGCCGCAGCAGGGCTTTTAGCTGCCAGCAAATCCCAAGCTGGGGCTCCTCAAAGCACATCTACACCACAGGAGAGCCAACCTAAGGCAGGCCCCCAGCACCGCAGCCACTGCAGGGCTGCACGCAGTGGTTCGTCTCAGCCCAACACTCCCTTCCTGCCCACGGCCAAATAAATCCCACTACGAATTCTTTCCCAAGCTGACTGCCTCAGGGACAGACCTCTGAGAATCAAATCACACCTTGGTGTCTTCCACTTGTTTCACTGACACGGGGCTTAGCAAGAGTGGTTTCCATCCTCAACATTTTACTAAAAGTATGTTGTGCTTCATTATGGGCTGCTATAAGACAGAGAGAGCCACAAAAAGCTCCCCGTTGGCAGCTATTTTCTGCTCTGAGGAAAGCTGCCCTACAGCCACGACTCTGTGCCTCTACCTTCAGAATAAGGATGATGGTGTTTTTCTCCCCTGGGAAAGTGGTTTGAAATGTACAGGGCAAAATGTGACCACGTGAAACACTGTCCTGCCTGTCTCCTTGGCCAGCAGTCACTTTGGGCTCTCAAGAGTTCCTCAAGCATGCATGCTTTTTCAATACAAGAACATTTCATATTAACTGCCACCTGGAGGGCAATCTCCAGGCTCATGAGCACCTCCCACCCTATACCTCCAGTGCAGCATTAATGTCACTCAAACACTCTCCATTCCAGAAGATACCCACCCCCGAGAGACGGACACTTGGAGGTTGTAGCTGGGCAGCAGTGGCTTGTCTGAGAACTCAAACATGAAGTTGTCAGGTTCCTGTTCCTCTTCCTCCTGGTCTGAACTCCCCGGAGGGTTGAGCAGAAGATCGCATCCAATGCTGTCTTTTCCCTCTGCAACAAGAAAAAACAGATGTTGGTGTTGCTCACACTTTCACTCCATCACCCCGTGGGGAGCAGCTCTGCCCAACCAGACCGGCTGCCCCTACAGCCCCACAACATTGCAATGAATCCAGCAGCCTGCTGCTCTCCTTCCTCATCTCCGAGAAACACAGAGAGCCTCCTGAAAACTGCCCTTGGTGAGCAGACAGGGTAGGAAGAACATCTTACACCGAGAGCAGGATGGCACCGATCCCAGTGTGAGACAAAGCGCCGCCTGCCTGCGGAATGAGACGCTTCCACTCCTGTGCAGCCTGGGAGAAGCTGCACCACTCAAGAAGAACGGAGGAGATGCTCTGTCTGCACAGATCCCATCAAGGAAGGCACTGCTCTGATCACCCAGCTCCCAACTCTCAACAACTGCCAGCAGGTTATCGAGGTGCGTGCCAGGAATTGTGTCTAAATATGGGCTGCCAGGCTGTGCTGCCCAACTGCACAGCAGACCTGAACACAAATGCAACAGAACAACAAGCAGCACGACTGCTGAGCATCACCCATAGATTTCTGGCTTGTAGAAAAGCTGGGCTTGTTTTTGTCCTGCCGAGTTAATGTGCCTCCAAAAACTTCCAGAATATAATACAGATGAGATCCCATAGAGAAAAGCAGACTGAATGTGCTGAGAAGCAAATAAACCATTTGTGCAAAATAAGATAAAAATAAAAAACTCAACACCACGATGCACAGAAGAAAAGGCTGGAGAAAAAAAATCTTAAGGTGTGCTGCCCAGAAAAAAATCCATGCACTGCACCAAGCAAGAATGTTAATAGGGAAACAACAGCAGGTGGCAGGAGGCGTGTGTTCAAACAGGCTGCTTAAATCTTCAAGAGTTACTGCAGAAAGGGGCAAAGGTAAGGGATGTGAATGTTGGCCTGAGATCACTGCTGGGCAAAGCTGAAATACCACGGCTGAATAAAGAAACAACACAAACATTTCTTGAGCAACCCAGGAAAAAGAATGGAGTGCGTTCCACGTGGAGTAAACGTGGCCCAACATCTCAGCCCTGTCTGTTAGCCACGTGAGAGCTACTCACAAACAAGGCCATTGCATCCCACTGTAAGGCAGAGATAATCAGGCCCAGCAATGCTAGTCCCAAATGCAGAAGAAACCCTGGAGTGGCACTTTGTTTCTAGAGCTGCACGAGCACAAAGGGGATCAGGCTGATGAGCCTCCCATACCCAGACCTCACAGATCTCACACACTCATTTCTCTCATTACCTTTTGGCCCCATATTAGATGCTCAGACCTAAGGGAAACTGGGCAGCTTTCCTGCCTCGAAGAATAGAAATGGATTGAGCAGCGGCCTAGAGTTTTTCCTCCACCCTCAGTGATACGTAATGGGAAGGGACACTTGGAAGAACTGAAAGCCCCTTTAGACACTGGAAGGCTGCAATAAGAGCTCCCCAGAGCCTTCTCTTCTCCAAGCTGAAGGATCCCAACTGTTCCAACAACCTGTCCTCATAGGATAGCTGCCCCAGCCCTCTGATCACACAGTCCTGAAGCTGTCTCCCTCAAAGCATGTGGGACAACAGTCCAGAAAGATCCACAGATGCATCTTACCAAAGAAAGAGTCCCTTCCGGGAGCAGTGGGAACCCTCAGTGTGTAGCACTGTGGCAAGGTATCTAAGATGTGACTTGGAAAGGAAGCTGACAGAACTGAGGGGATGATGCATTACATCTCACAGACCTGCTTCTCCCTGCTCTGCTGCTGCAAATGAAATCAGGTTGGCTGAACTCACCGAGTACAGAGCTGCTGTAGAAGTCCCACGCTGTTCGAGGATCCCCGTCAGTGCGCCCCTGGAGATCCGAAAGGTAATCTAAAGAGGAAGAAGTGAGAGGGTTAATGCTTCTCTACTGGCCACACCACAGTCCTGGCTCACACATCCATTGATCCTCAGTAAGCCACGCCATCTCTGCTGCTCCTTTTCTCTGCTGTAACGTCAGAATCTGAACCACAACCCGCTTGCAAGAAGGGTACCCTCACTCAGGAGAAGGCAGCACAGCCCTGACCTGAGAACATGAAGTAGAAGCCAATGGGGAAAAGCAACTGATAGCACTGTGTGGGTTGGAAAGCAAGATTCTTAGGGTCTTCTTACACTCAAGATTACATCCACAACCGGTGCAGGCACAGTTAAGCCTGGAGGAGCCCTGACAGCTATGTGGCCAACAAGACTTTTCAGAAACAGGAGATTTTCTGTCTCCTATCTACCTGGGAACCACCATCTCCTCTAATTGTCTTTGCCTCACTGTTACGAAGAAGCCAGGACACTCCTCTCATTTCTACTTAAACAGTACAGAAAGTGGGCACGCTTCACCCTCAGCCAGTCATCAGAGTTGGCCCTCCCATAGGCAGAGCCATTTTGGAGCAGATGGCAGCACTGCTTGGCAACAAAAGTTTATTTTTTGGGGTTATGCAGTAGGACCAGAAAGTGATGCTGCTGAACAGCATCTCCAACCCTCCTGCTGACTTCAGGCACGTGACCAGAGCACTGCCTGTACATTAGAGAACAAAAATACTTGAATCTTAATTGGGAAGTGTGATGCTACTCTGGAGACACTGGGTGGTAAAAAATAAAAAACCAACCACACACACAGGACGGAGCTGAAAATCACTCAGTCATTGGCTGCTCAGCACTTTTAAACCCTCTGACACCCGGATCTGTGGTCCTGTGTGCTGCCACACAGGAAGGATGGAAACGCAGCCACCCCCAGGCACCCACCACAGAGGAAGCGCTTCATCACGTCGCTGGTGGCAAGCTTCACAGCTGTCTGCCCGGAGTAAGTGGCCAGAGTGGGGTCAGCACCATAGGAGAGGAGAAGCCACATGGTTTCCAGGTTGTCATTGGCTACTGCGTCATGGACAGGCCTGTAAGGACAGGAGTGTTAGCAGAAAGAGAGCGGAAGAGAGGGATAGCAAAGAACCTGATCTGGGATAAGACAGATCTAGTGATGACCACCAGCTCTTCCCAAAAAGTAATGCTATAATGGGATGATAATAGCAGGGTGGCAAAGTCTTTGGCTAAAGCAAATGAGAACAAGCCCAAATGCAGCAGCCACAGATGCAGAAAAAAAGGAAAAGAGCTGCTTACATTTGGGAGGCCTCAGATAGGCAGGGATCTCCAGCAAGAGATGCCCTCACCTCCACCACCAACCCTTAAATGAGGGCTGGGCAGGGGTGGATCCTGGCTCCATCCCTTCCATCACTCAGTGCATTGCATGCACCTGAGCTCCCCTAGGCTGGCCCTGCCTTCCTGCCAGGTGCTTCAGGCCCTCAATTAGCACTTCCACTACACAAGCCCTGCTCACTGCCCCATGTTCCTGGCTTGCCTCGTGCCATCCTGCGCGCTGCAGTTCACGTTGGCGCCGTGCTCCAGCAGGATGTGCAGGATGTCGATCCAGCCTCGCGCACAGGCCTCGTGCAGAGCCGTGTAGCCAGCGTTGTCACGATGGTTCACATCACTGTTCTTTTTCTGCAGGCAATAGAGCACCACGTCCTACAGAAACAAGAGCATTGGAGGCTTGGTCACACACAGACCGAAGCAAGGCAGCACAGGACGCGAGGCGGGCGGCAGCACCGAGGCTCACCTTGTAGCCCAGGCGAGCTGCTCGCTGCAGGAGGGTCTCCCCTGCATTTTTGTTCACTATCAGCCGCCGTGCCTCAGGAGGAATGTGCTGGGCTGCAGGCAACTCAGGGGAGCTCCCTGGGCTGACACGATGGGATTTACAAAGAGGCCACGAGTCCTGGGGCTTCTTCGGAGAGTGCGTTTTGGGCTGGCTCCAGCGTCCTTTCACCTGGAAAACAAAGCAGTACAACCTTGGCACACGTCGACCCGGCTTGCTGACATGATGGGAGTCACTCTCGTTTCTCCCCACCCACGTTCCCCTTGTCGATCCAAGCCGTACCTTCCCCTCATCACAGATCCCTGCCAGGTGTTTGGTTTTACATTTGCGTTTTCCTGATGGTTTCTCCAGCTCTTCCTGGACAGGAGAGCTGTCTGAGTGCTCCAAGAAGAAGCCGTTCCGAAAGTCTGGGCGTCCTTGGGATTTGCGGGGGGATGGGGAAAGCCTGCTCCTCAGCCTCAGCTCTGTGCTTTTACCCTGCACTGACTCCTTCTGCTTTCGGTACCTAAAATCTGCAGGAGAGATGGGAATGAGGAAATTCTGTAGGTAAAGGACACCTTTGCCACCAGTCAAACCAAACCCCAGCTCTCTGCTGGCTGCACACCCAGGAACACAGACCCATGGTAGAGAGTCACCAGCAATGAACATGGAAATTTTCTCCATCGTGGATGGACTCGGCGTGGGCACATGAAATACAACAGCACGGTCTGGAAAGATCAAGCCTACCAAGCTCTGGGATTTGCACATGACTCACGAGGGTTTCTCATTAGCTCTAACAGTCAAGGAACCCAGCCTGCTTCCCAGTGGCCTGGTAACTGCATGCTGCCACACAGTGCATCCCCTCCTATCTCCAGGGCCAAGTGGGACTCATGTGGGATCCCCTCTGGACAGACAGGACATCCAGGCACCCGTGAACAGTCACTGCTCTGCTGCCTACAAAAGCAGACCCTGCCTCACCTTCTCATGTCTCCCCCTTAACTGAAGTAGCACTTTAAAGTTTCAGTTTGACTTGCAGGCAGGTGGGAAGCACCAGGATGCCTTGGGGGAAATCCAAGCCTTTCTCGCTTTCATTACACAGAGCTGCAGAACCCAACACACCACACAAGGACACGTACTCTGCTTCACTGAAATAGCAACACCCCATAGCAAGGACACTATGGGCTGGTGAGGAGATGGTTGAAAGGACACGACTGAAGCTTGCAAAAAAAAACAACAAAAAACACCCACAAAAGGATGCAGCAGCTGAATAGAGGAACCTTGTTCACTCCATCCTGTCAAGACTTAAGGGCACTGGATGAAATGAGTAAGAGAGCAGTTAAAAAACAAACGGAAGGAAGAAGCGCCCTGCACAGCAAGAGGGGAAGTTCAGGGCTTTGCTGCCACCCAGAGGTGGTGGAGGCAGTTGCCATCAGCGGGACCAGAAAGGATTGACTGAAACTCACGGCCGCGAGGCCCATAAACGAACTGCAGAAAGCCTGGCTGATCTATGGAGCATCCCAGAGTGTGCACATCAACATCACTGTCCCTGCTGCAGTGACAAAACCCCATCACGCTTTAGAGGGAATAAAAGTGAAAGCCTTGGGCCACGACCTGGCACCAGAAATCCCTTCCCAGCCCATAGCTGTCATACCTGCTTTGGATTTTCGCCTCCTGTGGGGGAAGCCCACCCGTTCTTCCTCCCTTTCGGTCAGATATTCCCCAGTCTGGTATCTCCGGCTTTTCTGTCGTCTCCTTTTCTTTCTTTTGATGTGGCTGTCATCCTCCTCCTCCTCGTTGGGCTCCCACAGCTGCCTGGGTGCGTCCACTCTCCAGGGCAGCTCCCGGCTCCTCCTCGCGTGACAGCTGCTCCTCTCGGACACAGACCTGTCCCTGGCCCTGTGGCTGTGATAACGCGATGCCTGGTGGGATTTCCGCAGCTTGCGACGTTTCAAGGATATCTCTTCCTCCTCTTCCTCCTCCTCTTCTTCTTCATCCTCCTCCAGCAAAGGTAAAATATCCTGACCGCTCACATCACACTCTCCCATGGCGCTAGCAGAAGAGCCAGCAACGCTTCCTGCACAAAAGTGGAAACAAGTGTCAAGAAAGGCAAAAGGCCACCTACAGGAAAATCCCCGCCAGGCAGGACAGAAGACGAAGAGGGAAAAGCTCACAGCGCACCCAGGAGTGAAGCACCCAGTTGTGCTGGCAGATCCCAGAGCTTGGCACCAACTCACCCGACTGGCTGCGCGTCCGACTGCTCAGCACCACCGGGATGAAGTCCCGGAAGTTGTTCTTGGGCTTCTTCTCAAGGTAACCTGTGGGGAAAAGCACCCTTTGAGAAGTACATCACACATCTCTGCTCACACGTCTGCTGCCCTGGAAAGCTCTGCTAGGATCCCGGTTTGCAGTGGGAAGCCACCAGCTCCAGAGGCCGTTCAGCTTCAGGACAACAACGGCTCGGCCCCGCAGCCCTAGCACAACCCAAACTGCCACAACCCCATGAGAACACATTGCCTTTGACAGCAGTACCTTCCTCGTGGCTGTCCCCACGGTGCTCGGGAGAAGGGAACTCTGTCTTCGTCGGCCTCCTGCGCTTACGCTTTACCCTGAGGCTGTTGTGATCACTCACTGATCCCAGGCCGCTTCGGCCCTCTCGCTTGCTGAGCTCGTGCAGGTTGTCGTGGTGTTTCCGCCACTGTGGATGGAGGACACAGACTGAAGCTTAAGTTATGACTAACAGTGCTGGAGGAGCAAAGAAGGGACAAAAGACCACCCCCCACTCATAATACTGGTGCCCTCCAGCATTTTTGACACCCCGGATCCATTTTGTTCTGTTCCATACAGATCCAGATGTTTCATCCACTGCAAGACAACGCCAAAGCATGGGTAGAACGCCCCGTGCTCTCAGCTGTCCTCGCCCAGCAGAGCTCCCGCCTCACCCCCAGCCTCACAACCACGACCCCCCCAGCCCCAGCTCCAGCCAACCTCACCCACCTTCCGGCCATGCACACTCTGGCTCCCTGATTTGCTCAGGGGCTCCTCGCCATCCTGCGCTTTGCACTTCAGTCTCTTTTGCACCTGCCTGGCATCGCCGTCGTGCTGCCGCTTGGACTTGCAGCGTGTGCCACTCTCTTGCTTGACCTGGCCTGCAGCTGTGAGCTTGGCCTCTGCCAAGGCCTGGGGAGCAGCCCCAGCTCGCAAGCAAGTCACCGAAGGCAACGACACATCGCTCTCCACGCGCTCCTTCTTCACCCTGCATAGATCCACCTGATGCGTGCACTGGAGGGGCTCTGCAGCTGGAGGCTGCTGGGAGCCTTCACAGCCTGCCTCCTTGTGCTGATTCTCTACGGGTGCTGCAGGCACCTCTGGAACCACCCGCAGGGCCTGCTGCCCGACCACGGGCACGTCGTGCGACAGGTACGCAGCTAACACTTGGTTTTTAGGCTTTGCATCCGTCTGCTTGAGGCTGCAGCTCCCCTGGGGAGCCTCAGCCTGCACAACGCCCTCCTTACTGGAGTCGGCCTGTGGTTCCTCATGCTCTTGACTCTTTGAAGGGTTGTCCAGCTTCCCCTTTCCTCCTTTTGCATCCAAAGTGCTGGTTTGAGGAGATGGGCCTGTGTTCAAAGGGATGGCACTGTCCTGCTCCTCGCCGGGTTTGGGCAGGGGTCGGCAGCTCTTGCTGCTCTTGGATGCAGCTTCGCACTCCGCAGGTGGGAGCCTGGGCAGCCCCTCAGGCAGGCTCTGGGCCGCCGCGCTGGGCTCTGTGGGCTGCACACTCAGGAACGTGGGGAGCTCACCTGTGCCAGCGGGCTTGCAGGAGCTGTTGGGGTTCGGGGGCAGCTGCCCCGTGGTGGAGATGCCGATCGAAAGCAGAGGGGTCTGATGATAAGGAGACCAGCCGAGAGGCAAAAGCTGAGGATTGGAAGGTTTGCCATTCACAGGGCATCGTGGGTACACGCTCCCCTGGACAGGATTCCAGGTGGAAATGTCCTTGGATTGACACAAAGGAGCTCCCGGAGCAGCTCTGCCATGAAGCAGTCTCTTGGCAGGATCCTGCTGTCTCTCTGCGCCCGCCTGGCTGGTTTTCTTCCCACAGGGAGCCCCAGCGCTTCGGGGCTCTCCCTGATCGATGATGGAAATCGGCTCCTGCTTGGGAAGGTGGTGGGGGTCCCTGCTGAAGCTCACGCAGGGGTCCTTGCTGAGCAGCAGCGAGGCGGGCACGGGGTTGGCAACGCCGACGTAGGTGCCTGGAATGGTGCTGATGAGGGTGGTGTTCTTCACCCAGGAGCCCTGCTCTCTGTTCCGCAGGAACTCGGGGAAGATGACGAAGGGCGTCGTGGTGCTGAGACACGAGGTGACGCTGCTGCCCGCGCTCTGGGCCGCGCGCTGGGACTTGGACAGGACCGTGGTGAGAAGTGCTTTGCCGCTGGTGTGCACAGGGGTGAGGATGGGCATCGGAGGGGTTTTGCGTTGGCTGGGTGGAGGCAGCTTCTGGCGATTGGACTTGGAGGAGAGATCGAGAGGCATCTCGCTGCACTCCGGAGAAGAGACCATCTCACGCTCCAGCTGCGGAGGGGACTTCAGAGGTGAAAGCGAAGTCGCCGCCCCTGGTGCGTGCGGCTCGGGAGCTGCCGCCGCTCTGGCTTGTGTGCCAGTGCCAGAAGAGGGAGCAGCGCTTCCACACGGTGCTGCCGGCAGAGGCTGGCTGGACGACGGGGCAGGGCCAGCTGTGGACGAGGGAGAGCCATCGGCAGCGGTCTGGGCACCGCTTCCACCTGAGGGCGAAGAGCAGCTAAGCTGATTCACCTCCACCGACACCACTTTGGCATCTGAAGCCAAGGGTCTGGTGACAGAGAAGGTGTAGGGGTAGGAACGCAGCTCCGGGGAAGCAATGATGCCTGGCACGCAACGCTCAGGTAGGTAGGAAGGCAGGACGGGAAGGGTGAGCGTGGAGGAGACCCCCAAAGTGCTTGGAAGAGTGGCCACGGTGAGCGGCTGCCCGCAGCTGGGCGGTGGGATGTACACCAGCGACTGGTTCGGGCTCAGGACCGTCCCAGGCTGAAAGGACAGGGGCACTTTGTGCATAGCAGGGGCCTGAGACGTGGGAAAGCACACTCGACTCAAAGTAAAAGTTGCAGGGGTGGAGGCTGAGGTGCTGCAGCTGGAGGCGACCACGGATAACGTCCCTTCTGCCAGCACTGCTGGCCCTTGTGCTCCGGTGCTTGGGGCGGTTTTCTCCTTCCCAGCAGGCTCATTCTCTGGAGCCACAGAGCAGGTGGAAGGAACGTCAGCCTGCTTGTCGCTGGGAGGATCTGCAGGCATCCCCGCAGCATCAGCACTGCTGCTCTCCTGCTCAGCAGCTTGGGGGACTGCAGGCTCCTGCCCTCTGCCATCCCCCTGGCTTGCCAGAGGGCCCTGAACATCGTCCTTCACAGTCTTTCCCACACACTCTGGGCTCGGGTTAGGATCAGGTGGCTGCTCTTCCAGTTTGGGTCCAATCTTTTCCTCCACCTTGCCACTTGCATCCTGGGCACTGCTGCCACCACTGCTGACTGCTGTGAGCTCCACCTGCAACAAGAAGGGAGAAAACAATCCTGAAAAGCTGTGGAAGCAGCTCCTAGCAAAGCAGACAGGACCTACTCTCCAGCCCTGACCTGAGGAGGCAGAGGCCAGCAGATGCTCCTCCTCACCTGGAGAGCTGCTTGCCCCTTGTGCACGTTGCTGCACCCCTCTCAAGAGGAGAGGAGGTCTGCAGGACCCATAAGGGCAGGTGCTCTTGCCTGACCTGTTCCACCAGAGAAAGGCCTTCCCAGAGGACCCGGATGGGCACAAATGGAGCTCACCTTGGAAAGGCTGCTGCTGACGCAGAACTCTTGAGATCCCAAATGCTGGGAGCTGCTGGTTTTAGACTCCTCATCAGAAAGTGGGGCTCTCCTAAAGGGGGAATAAGACAGCGTTACAAAACCCCAGGACGTTCTCCCAGCATCCTAACCTTCCCTGTCCTCACATGGGACAGCAGAGCAGCTGACGAGCAGAAGCATGGTCCAGACAGCCACGAGCTCGCTGCACCTTACACCTCCCACAACAGCAATGGGTGCTGACCACTGCAGGACTGTAGGGATGAGCAACACCGCTGTCCATCACTGTCCTCTCCCTCCCAGAGGGCTCCATTCACCTGCTCCTGTCCCTTCCATCTCCCCTTCTGTTCCACCACACGCTTCCAGCCCTGTCCTCAGAGATCCTGTCCTGTTCCTCTGCCTCCCCGCCACATTTCTGCTGTCCCAGCCCAGCAGCTCTGTCTGTGAGCTGCACAGCCACCCATCCTGCTGGCCAGAACGTATGAACCTTTGCATGACACCTCGTGAATGCAGAGTGTGAACTCAGATCAAGGGTCCACAGAGATGGGATGCACCAAGCGCACGGCTGTCCTTATGATCCGACAGAGGAGCAGGCAGCGCTCACACGCTCTCTATTTACGTATTTACAGCAACTTCCAGCCTTGTTCTGACTGAGCCCCGTTACAGACAAGCGCTGCTGTCAGGATCAAAGAACTCGATTTCAGGTTTTGCTGATGACAGAACTGCAGGGGCTGGAAGGGATCTCAAGAGCCCCAACACTGCTTCTGTTTCTGCCCTCCTGCCACACACTTCCACAACAACCAGACGATGCTGCCAGCCCCATCCCCGGGCCGCGCGTCTCAGAGCGGGCACCAGGAGCGGCTCTGGGCAGCCTCACACGGGTGGACGGACAGCGGGACGGACAGCGGGACGGGGCCGGGCTGAAGGCCTGGCCGTCGCCCCATCCCAAAGCCTCGTGGACCCGCCCAGCCTCCCCACACGCAGCCCGGACATTTCCGTCCCCTCGTCCTCCCCGTTCGGCCGGGCCACCGAAGGTTCCGGCGGCTCGTTATTAACAACGGGACGGGGCAGATCGCGTTTCCGCAGCGCTCCGCAGATGACAGCCGAGCCGGGCGCTCCGCGGGCCGAGGCGGACCGGGCCGGGCCCAGCGCGGCGCCGAGGCTGAGCTCCACCCCGGCGGGCGGCGGGAGCGGCGGCAGGGGGCGCCCGAGGGCAGGCGGCGAGCGGAGCCGGGCAGCGGGCGGCCGCCCCGCCCGGTCCGGGGCCCCGCAGGCCCAGGCCTCGAGCCGGCGGGGCGGGCCGCGGCCACGAGCCTCGCCGCCGGGCCGCGCCGGGTGTCCCGCGGCCCCGAAGGCGCCGCCGCCGCGCTGCCTCCGTCCCCGCCGCGCGCCCGGGAACGGCCGGGCAGCTTGGGGCCGGCTCGGAGGCGGCGGCGCCCCGGCCGTTCCGCCCTCCCCGAGGCCGAGGGCTGGGACAAAGCGCCGCCCGCCGCGACGCTGCGGGGCGTTCGTTAGGCGCGGGGGCAGCTCGGAGCGGTTTAGGGAAGGCAGCGCTATCCGCCAGCTCTTATCTGAGGGCTGCACGGCGGGGCTGAGGCACGGAGATGATCACCGTCTGCTTTTCTGCCCCGCGAGAGAGCCTCAAGTCTCCCCTGTCCCGCTGCCCTGCCCGCCTGCTGGAGGCTTTGCTGCCGAAAGTCTCCGCTCCGGCAGCGGGGAGCGCTGCGCGCACTGCCTGCAAGCACCAAAACCCGCCTGCCTCCAGCAGCGCGCAGCTCTGAGGAAGCTGCCGACCCGACCCGTGGTTGTGAGAACGAGACCCCAAGGCGGCGGAAATGAGAGGCGATGGCGAGCCGTGGGACAGGCCAGGAACCGGCCTCGATCAATTCTGCCTCCCGGCCACTAATCCTCCCTAATCTCCTATTTGGTTGGTGGCATGTCACAACTCTCCCATCTAATCGTGCGCTCTGCGCTCACCCTCCTGGGTCACTGAAAGCTCTTCTTAGCAGCTTGGCTCGCGGTGGGTCAAGCTCCTCTCCTCTCCTGACACTTAACAGCACAAGTGACGATGCCAACAGCGTGTGCACAGTGCACCCATGTAGGTGCACACAGTTGGTGAGCACTCTGCAGAGCAACGGTCCTCATCCCCCAGCCTGAGTCACTGCTAAAATCAGCCACTCCAGCACCATTTCCATTCCTGCAGCCTCTCCCCATCCCTTCCTGCCCCTCCTGGGCCCACCGAGCCTCCCACGCACCTCACCTCTCCTCGTTGAGGCCACACATGCGAATCCGCTCTGTGCTGGTCCAGTTGTGCACCCCGCTATAGAGAGGTGCCGTAGAGATCATGACAGCTGCTCGTCACCAACCCGGGTCCTGCTGGGGCTCGAGGGGCCGCTCTGCCTGCAGGGAGAAAAAAAAAATAAAAAGCATAAAACAGAGAATTGGTGACTCTTGTAGGACGGTGGCATCCACGTTTATCCTCAGCTCCATCGCCAGGAAGAGCGAGCACGACGCCTGAGATGCTCCACGTCTGTCTGGAGGAGGACTGGAGGGAATAAACAGCGCCTCGGGATAGGATCTGCCCGTCCTCACACTAACCAACTCGATTGCCAAAGCCTCAGGCTACCTCGAGAGCTTCACACAGCCGTTGGTGAAGCCGTGCTGCCCAGAGCTGGGGGTGCCCCCGTTTCCGAGGTGCCCGAGGCCATGGGTGGGTCCTGGGCTGGAGGAGGCACCCAGCCCACGGTACAGGGGTTGGGACTGGGTGGGCATTGAGGTCCCTTCTAGCCCGGCCGTTCTGTGATCCTACCATCATCACACACACATACATCACTTTTACAAGACCCCCCCGCTTTTCTCCCCACCCCAGAGGTTTCCAGCGCAGGGCAACGAGCCCGGACAGAGCTGCAGCCAAGCGGACGGCTGTTAGAACGCTGACCCCTCCCCGAGGCTTCGCATTACGTTGATAAAGCAGGACGTGCCGGGCTCAGCGGGGAAAACCTCAAACGGGGAAGAAGCCGGGGGGGGGGGGGATGCGGGAGGAGGGGGCGGAGGATTGCCAAGTGTGCCACCGACGTGTCATCCAGCGGACGTCCCCTCAGTGCGCTGCGGAGGGGATGATGGTGTTCGGCGGTGTTACGGGTAGAAAACAGGAGGAAATCCAGAGACTTGCGAGCATCCGAGACGCACCGTCGGCGGGGTGGAGCTTTCGGGGGAGGATGTTACAGCCAATCGTGCGGCGCTGGGTGCTCGAGCATTAAGGCAGCTTTGCTGCTGGAGTCGTGTCAGGGAAAACGCGAGGAAGGAGGGAGGAGAGGATCCCCTGCGCTAAGCGGAGGGCGAGGTGGAAGCGAGGAGGGAGGACGGACCGCGAAGGGCAGAGATGCTGTCCAAGAGGTTCTCGATACAAAGGCATTCTGGACACACGAAGGGAAAGCTGGCAGGGGCACCGGGCGTCCTCGGTGCAGCGGTGAGAGCAGGGAGAGGCTAAAAGCAGCACGTCACCCCCAGCCTCGCTCGGCTGTCTTTGCCCTGCCAAACTCCCGGGGACACGAGCTCTGGATGAGACCAGAAGCAGGATGCACGATGCTGAGATGAGTGCAGGGATGTACAGGCCGGGCTGAATGTGCCCTCTGAGCACAGCTGCTGCCAGATATCCCCTCCTCAGCTCGTGTGCCAACATCCAGAAACAGAACAGCAGGGCCATAGGAGAAACGGGGACAGGGCATTTTGCTTGCAAAAAAAAAAAAGTGACAGACAAATCCACACATATGAACACAGATCTGAGCAAAGCCGTGGAAACTGGGAGTCAGGATAAGAGGGGAACGTCCAGCCAAGGGCACAAGGCGCAGAGGGAGAAGGGCTGTGTGGTGGAAGGGGAGCAGGGCAGGTTCTAAGGCAGAGAGCAGGGTCATACCCAAAGAGAATGAGAGGTGGCTTGGAGCAGGAAGGGGAGGAGTCTTGCGATGCTTGGAGTGAAATGCAACATAAAGGAAATAGGGGAACAAACAATCTGTGGGGATTTCACCATCTTAGGCTAAACTGAAAGAAGGGCAGGAGGACGGTTCTGCCCCCGAGCACGGCGGTGGGGCTGATGGTTTGGGAGAGATGGAAAGGGAGCCACTGTGTGAGTGGGAAGGGGGCTGTGCAACGCGGGACAGGAGTTCAGAGAAGAGCTGGGGCATCAAAACAAGCACAGAGCGTGGTCTGAGAATTGGTCTGGTGAGGGAAAAGCAGGGACAAGGCGGTGTGGGGAGCGGGGAGGGATGGCACGTTTGGAGTGCTCGAGTAAGAGCTGGCGGACACAGCAGGACGGCCACCAGAGCAGAGGCAGGAGAACAAGCACAGCCCCTGCTTCGTGAATTCTTGGCCTCTACCCTCTACGGACGACACGGGACACGTGCCAAAGACAGGCATTCCACAGGGAGCCAGAAGGAACAGAAGAGAGAAAAAAAAAATATCATGTTTTCAACTCGAGGAAAAGGAATTCAACATGGAGAGAATGACAGACGTGCTCTCCAATGCAAACGGGAGCGACCACCGAAAGAGGAGCATCCTTCAGAGCACAGACAAGGGAAGATGTCTGGGAAACACGGGTAGGAGCAGCTGCAGTGTGCAATGGGCAGAGCAGGGCCAGGCACCCAAGGAGACCTTGAGTGGAGTCAACACGACCTCTCATCTGCACCAGCTCAGCTCAAAACGACTTTAAACGGCTGTAATTAAACTGGCAGAACCCCTGGAGAACACAACTAAGGCATGCTTTCGTGTACCCTCGGAGCAGAAGGAACTACTGAAGCCCTTCTGTCCCCTCACTCCTTCCACTGGCAATGCAGGGTGAGCCAAACCCGGGAGCACATCTGTGTTTCAAACCAGTGCTGTGGGTTTCTTCCCTGCCTGCAAGGGTTTTAGCCCACAGCAGCTCCCAGATCGGGTTCACCAGGAGGGAGAGAGGGCGCAGCCTGGCACAGAATCCGTTTAATCCAGCACCTCTGCCAACAGAAGCGTATATGAAACCACAGCTTTATTTTGATGTAGCTAAATAGGTGCCCAGCCAATTCTAATTAACTCCAAAGAAAACGAGTTTAGAATGAAAGAAGACCATCAACATCCCATTCTGCTCAGAGAGAAGCTTGTTGCATGATACCAAAGCTCCTTCATATCTCCAAACAAAACATGCTCTGGAATTGCTGGTGAGAAAGGGGCTGAACGCTGCTTCCAACAGCAAACCCTGCAAGAGATGCTCAATGAAACTAACACGGATGGATTACACTCACCAAGAGCAAAGGGGCTCTTTATTCCCTATGCCAAACCCCCTCACTGCCCTGCAGCTGGACAGGACACCACAGTGCAAACCAGTCTCCAGATCAGCACAGCAGAAGATGTCTCTGCTGCAGGAAAAGCACGCTCTGCTCAAGTCAGCACCTTGCTCACTGTGCCTGGCAGTCCCTTTGGATTCAGCCAAGACACAACTCTCTCCTCTGCAACGCAGCCTGGAAACAACTTCCTTGAGATGAAGTTCTTTGGGAACAGATCCTTTCTAATAATCACCTATACAGAAATCCCCCTCTAGTGCCAGGACAACTGCAGCTGCAGCACAGGCCGAGCTGGTGGATGGTGGATGGGCTGCTCCCAGCTTCACCCATCGGCTCCCTGCAGCTGAGCCGAGCCTCCTGCACTGCCAGCAGCCCTGCTCCTCATCCTCTGCAATCCTGATTCGAGCTGCTTGGGCTGAGGTTTCCTAACACAGCTTGTGCCCCCCGCATGGCACTTCCCACCCTGGCATCAGCACAGCAGAGGTGTGTGACAGCCACAGAGCACAAGTGGCACCGCTGGCTCTGAGCACTCTGCGCTGCAGTGCCCGGTGCACCCATGCAGGAGGGAACGGAGCGGCTGCATTTCCCCACTCCTCGTGCCAGCCTCTCCTTAACACTGTGAATGCATTCAGCTTTAGGCCAGTGGCAGCTACACCCCCCAACAAGCTCCATCCTAAAATGGCTCAGATTTTGAGCCGCTCACCTTCCCTCTCCCTAACCCTACCACTGCAGCACCAGCTATGCGCCCACCGATCACCACCACCCTGCCTCAGCCAGGCAGGAGCCGATGGACACCAACACACCTCAGCGGCCCCCAAAACTCCCCCTGCAGGGCTGCCCCAAACCCAATCTCTGGGCAGGGCTGAGAGCTGCACAGCAGCATTGAGCAAAGCCCCGGCGAGCCGCGATGCGCAGTGCTGACAGCAGCGGGGCTGTGAATTGCAGAGGGCTCCCCCGGCTGAGCAGCAGCAGCCCCACAAAGCTCCACAGAGCCCCGTGCTGAGCTTTGGGTTGCGGCGGTGCGAAGTTGGTGCGACGCAGACAAAGGGATGCAGCCAGATGGGGGCCGAGCACGGTGAAACGCCGCATAACTGGGACAGCGGCACGGAGGGAGGGAAGGGAAGAGGGAAGAGGGAAAAGGGAAGGAGCTTTTCCCTTCTGAGCACGCTGCACGAGTTCGGCACATCCCTCTGCAGCACGAAAGCAGGAGGACGCGGCTGCTGGTACCGGGAGCGCTGCGCAGCACGGCTGGCCAGGGGGCACTGTGGGCAGCCGGCGGGATGCACTTTGACCCTGGAAACACACCCAGGGAGACACCTTTGGAACACGATCCAGGAGAGGAGCAAAACGCAGAATGCCACTTTTTCCCACCCCGATGACTCAAAAACGTAAAGCAGTCCTGAATGTGGGGAACCCGGGAGGGACTCCCTGCCTGCACTGCATTCACCACGAACTGCTGCCATCGATGAGAGCCAAAGCAGTGGAGCTGCCCCTCGGCAGGGCAGGGACGGGCCGGGAGGAAGCGATGTGCATCCACGGGGACGGCCTCGCTCACTCCTGAGAGTTTGTTCACTTTGGCAATCTTCGTTGCCATTAGTAACAGGGGCGAGAAATTATATTTGCTTTTAGATGCGGTGGTCGGGCGTCCATTTGAGGTGCAGAGGTCTGGAGCCAAAGCTGCCCCTGGCGCCCCAGACAGGATTCAGCCCTAAGCAGCAGCTCAGAAAAAAACCCTTTCAAGAGAACTGCGCGCAAAAAGAATTTAAAAAGAAAAACCAATCGTGATGGTCCTCTCCCAGGACCTACATGGGGCACCAATGGGAAAAAATAGGTGAGAAAAGCAACGAATTGTAGCAGGACTGAGCAGCAGCAGCAGCAGTGTGGCACCATTGGCCAGCAGGGATCGGCCCCAGCCCGGCTCAGTGGGTACAAAGTACCGAGTGCAGCCCCGACCCCGCCGGGTTTAGGATCCCCCGGGCTGCGTGGAGCCCCGGAGCGCTGCGGTGCTGAGCCAGGCTTTGCTCAACGCATTTGCTTAAGCTGCTTTAAAGACACAGCAGCACCGCGAGTAATTATAGATACTCGGCGTGATGAATTGGGAGGGAAAAGGGAAAAAAAAAAAAAAGAAATAGAGAGAGAGGAAAATAAAGAAAATCCATCCTCGTGTGGAATAAAATAAAGTTTGCTGCACGTCGGCTACTGCAAAATACAGCTGCTGGACAACAGCGAGCATCGCGCTGTACCCGCGGCAGGAGCGGGTTTTTAAAGGGACGGGGAGAGAAAACGGCACGGAGGGGCTCGGGAATATCTGCAAAGAGACGCTAAAAGGCCCGCGTCGTGCACGGCACGGCGAGCAGCCCGGCCCTGCAGCACGGAGCCGCGGCCTCGCGGAGAGCCGACGGCTGACAGTGGTGCGGGACGCGGGGACGGCGGTGCCCCCGCAGCACCGACGGAGAACGGCGCTCCTCGGGAGCGGATGCTCGGAGAGAGCATAAACGGTGCCCTTCCCCGAGGGCTGCGCTTGGGCGAGGAGGCGGGGAGAGCCCTGCGAGCGGCGGTCGGGATGCAGGCTGCGGACACGGCGCCGTAGCTCCGCTCTGCCCGCCCGGCAGGAAGCGCAGCTCCGGTCCCGCCGCCGCCGCCGCCGCGCACCTCGGGCACGGCCCCTCCCGCCCGGAGCCGCGGGGCCGCAGCGGGGGCAGCGCCGAGGCTCGGCCCCCACCCGCCCCACCCCGCACCGCCCCGCCGTTGGGGGGGGTCCGCCCGGGCACCCCTCGGCGCAGGCCCCGCCGCCGCTCAACAGTTGTTCCCCGAGGCCGCTCCCCGGGGCAGGGGCAGCCCCGGACGTGGGGCGCCGTCCCCGAGGAGGGCCCTTCCGCCACCGAGCGGGGCCGCGCCGCCACCGGGACTTTCCTCCGCGGCCACGCCGCCAAACTCCGCGCGGAGCGACCGCCGTCCCACCGCCACCGCCGCACCGCACCGCACCGCGAGAGCCGCGCCCCGCCCCGTTTGGCCCCGGGACCCCCCGGCAGCGGCAGGTGCCGCCGGTGTTCGGTGTGTCGGCGCCGGATCCTCCGCGCGGGGTCGGGCAGCGGCACGCGGCGCCGTCGCGGGGCACACGGAGCGGAGCGGCACCGCCGCTGTCACCGCGCGCCGCCCCCGCCCGCCGCCGTCCCGCAGCGGGACGCTGCCAACCGCCCCCCCCCCCCCCCCAACACCCCCTCGGCACCCCCCCTCGCCCGCCGTCCCGGGACCGGTTTCCATGGAGACCCCCGTCCGAGGGCCGCGCGGGGCCGTCCGCTCGCCGCCGTCCGCCCGCCCCCGGCGGTGGGTGCGGGGCGAACGGGCCCGGGGTTACCCGTGTGAGCGGGGCCGGGCGTCCGGCGCGGGGCGGCGGGGCTGGGGAAGGGGGGGGGGCGGCGGTTGGGGGGCCGGGCGCGCACCTGTTTCCTTCGACGAGGCGGGCGACGGAGCGGGGAGAGCGGCGGGGCGAGGCGGGCCCCTGCCCGGAGGAGGCGGCGGGTCGGACCGCGGCGCGGCGAGCGGCGGTTCGGCGGCGGCGGAGACACTGGCAGCGGCAGCCGGAGTGTGAGGGCGAGAGCGAGCCGCCGCCGCCGCGGGGGATGACGGGAGCCGTAGTCCGCCCGCCGCGCCCCGCCGCCCGCCGCGCCGCCCCGCGGACTGCAGCTCCCGGCGTGCCCCGCGCCCGCCCTGCCCGCGATGGGGGGGGCGCTGTGCGGAGCCGGCCGAGTCCGGAGAGAGGGAACGGGCGGCGGGGAGGGAGCGAGGGAGGGAGGGAGGAGGGGGCTCCGCGCCCGGCACGGCCCGCGGCGGGAGGAGGGAGGGAGGAGGGAGGGACGCGGATAAGGGGTGGGGGGGGCGGCGGGGGTTGCTCCCCGCCTGGGAGGGGCCGCTCCGCACCCACGAGCGGGTGGAGGCGCGGCGCGGGGGGGAGCGCACGCACGGCGCGCACCGCACACCCGCACCGCGCCGGGGCACCGGAGCCCGCACCCGCAGGGGGAGGGAGCGGAGAGTGGGGGGAGGGAAGAGGAGGAGGAGGAGGAGGAGGAGCGGGCGGAGGCCGGGAGCTGCACGGCGGGCAGCGCTGGACGGGCACCGCGCGGCGGAGAGCGAGCGCGGAACCCGCACCGCACCGCGCACCTCCGCTGCCCGCAGCCCCGCGGCGGAACGGGCGTGGAGTGTCCGAGCGGCCCCGCCCCGCCCCGCCCCGCCGGGCCGACGTGGGCTCGGGCAGCGCGGCCCCGGGGCGGCGGCGGACATGGCGCTCGGGTGTCGCCCCCCACCACACCCGGGGTTCGCCCCGCGGAGGTCCCCGCCGCCCCCCGGCCCCGCGCAGCGCCGTGCGGGGGAACGGCGGAAAGGACGGCGGCGCCGGGGCGGTGCGGAGCGCCTCGCGGTGTACGGGGACCGAGAGAGGAGGAGGGCGGCCGAGGCCTCGGGGCTGCGCTCTGCCGCTCGGGAGGGCACTGAGCTCGGGAAGGCCCGGAGGGAGGGAGCCGCTCCCGCGGAGTGGGACGATGCGGGTTCTGCCCCGCACCGCACCTCCCCACCGCCTCCGGGCTGCGCGCGGCCCCGTGCGCTGCGGCCGCACGGAGCCGGGACTCCAGGTTCGGAGGCCGGAGCTTCCCCCGAGCACCCGAGGCGCTGCCCTATTTGCGTAGCAGTGCCGTTAATGCCTCCCGGTTTGCGGTGCCCCGTCCCGCAGCGCTCGGGGTGAGTGGTGCAGGCTCCAGCACAGCTCTGCTCCCGCTGCTGTCACTTGGAAATGGCCCACGCTTCGACATCTCCGGGCTGGGACAATCCACACCCGGGAGCTCTGAAAGGTGCTGCTAAAAAAAATTCTGTGGCTCTTCCGCAAAAAAAAAAAAAAAAAAAAAAAAAAAAAAAAAAAAAAACCTCGTAAAAAACAGACGCGCCTTAAAAATGGGGAAATCTGAGGAATACGAAGCATCCCCCATGGGATTGAGGTGCTAAAAACTCTACGGGGCATCCTCCATTGGGTGAAACATGAGATCCTGACAGTTCCACGGGACAGCTCCCCCCGGCCCCACCGCGAGCCCCGCTCCCCTCCCGCAGCCCCCCGCTGCTCTGTGCTCCCTGTGCTGTGCACGGGGTTCATCCCACCCCACGTGTCCCCGCTGCACAGCACGGCCCGAGGTGGAGCCGTGGCGGCTGGAGCGGCGCTGGGGCTCTGTGCTCGGGGGGCCATTGCTGCGGGGGCTGCTGGGCTTTCTCTGGGGCAATTCCTACAGCTTCAAAGAGTGAGGCTGCATCCACAGCCGGGCAGACGGCTCAGCTCGGTTTTATTGGCGTGCGACAGCAATAAAAGGTGTCAGCTCCCACCGCAGACCCCGCCGTGCCGTTTTCCATCCCAGCTACAGCTACAGAATTATGACTTCTCCCACTGAAACGGCTGCCACCGCCTCCTCCTCCTCCCTGCACCCCATCCCCTTCATGGCTCTGTGCTGGGAAGGGTGATCCCTGCTCCCAGCTGTGGGCTGTGCTGCTTTGTGCCATCCACGACTACTGCAGGGAGCTCAGAGCAGGGCTCGTCCCCGCTGTGTCCTGCAGGAGGTTCATTGCAGGAGGCCGAGGTGACAGTCACTGCACTGCCATATCCATCCTTCTTCCTTGGCCTTAGAAGACACTGCAAAGCAATAGAGGTTTGGGACGCCTGGGACGTGGCACAGCTCTGAGCCTCTCCCTGCTGCAGCTCAGCTCTCTGCTGTCCCATCCCCAGGTCTGGCTTCAAGAGGCACCGAGCGCTCCTAATTGTGATCGCAGACAAAGAGAGCCGGCCTTTGAAGGCTGCACACGCGGCGTCTGGCAGCACGTGCCTGCAGATCTGCCACGCTGCCGGCAGCCCCGGGGACACGGGGAGCTGGGGATAGGAGCACTGCTGGTTCCCGGCTGTGGGATTTGCCCCGGGCTCTGGGAGCAGCTCCCAGCCCAGTGCCGTGCCCAAAGGCTCACGGCATCCAGCAATGAGCTCCGTGTCGGCCACCATTCACAGTGCTGGCAGCGTGTGGCTGCACGCAGCTTTGTGTCCAGCCTTTGTCTTCAGGGGACATTCGGCCCCATGGGAGGTTTTGGGACCAGCCATGCGTCGGTATCACACTGCTATCCCAGGACTGTCACCCTCATCCCTGCTGGCGAGCATCTCTGTGGATGCAGAGCCCTGAGAGGTACAGGTGGCAGCTGGTGTGTGCTTACTGGGGAGATGCAAGGGCTTTCCCCTAACTGCTCAGCTGCCTGGGGACACACGGGGACAAGGGGACATGGGGATACGGGGACACTCAGGGTGTGGGGACAGTTGGGTGTCTGTCACCTCCAGGACACCCAGCGAGTGACACTGCGGCGCAATCCAAGTGACCCGAGCAGCAGTGACAAGTCTGGTGGCCAGCAGCCCGCATCCCCCCGCCTGCTACCGACCTCCATGAGGAAGCACATTGCCAACACAGGAGCCACACGTGTGGCGGCCGTCTGTCCTCAGGGGGATCGGCACCACTGCAGGCACCAGGGTCCCGGCTCCGGCATCGCAGCGGCAATCTCTCGCGCAGGTTGTGCCGTGCTGGATACGGCATCTCCATGGAAACCCTCCCGCTCAGGCTGTGCGGGCTCGGGAGATGCCATCTCCACGGAAACGCGGGGCTGTGCAGGCCGGGATGCGAGGACCGTGCCTGGATGCTGCGGATAGGGGCTGTCCTGAGCTATGGGGTGACGTGGGATGAGCGGTGCCGCTGCTGCGGCTGGAGGGAGCCCGGGGAGGAGGGGACAGGGATGGCACTGCGGACCCCAGCATGGGGGAGCTCCGCCGTGAGAGGGAGCGGTGCGGGACCGCCTGATTTCCACGGGGGCCCCGTTACAGCCGGGGGGACCCGGGGTTGATGCCGGCAATGCCATAGCATGGGAAGCCGGGGGGCCTCTGGCGGGGGCTGAAATTTCACCCTGAGGAATAGCCCGGATGAAGTACTTTGCAGGTTATTTATAGCCTCCCTAAAAAAAAAAAAAAAAAGAAAAGAAAGAAAGAAAGAGAGAAAACAACAACAAAACCCCCTTTATTTATTGACTTTAAATCTGCCTTTTCCATTCATTCCGTTCTCGATGGACACGCGCAGCCCCGGCACCGGATGGCCAAATCCCCCCCCAACCCCCAATCCCTCCAGGAGCTCCCCATGGGGTCTCCACGCCGGGCACGGCCGCTCCGGGCTCGGCTCAGCTCGGCTCGCTCCCTCCGGCCCCGCTGGCAGCTCGGCCGCCCTCACCCGGGCTCCGCGCGCTGTAAACCTGGCTTTGACGTCGCCCGGAAAGTAGGCCAGTAAGAGCAAACTGCAGCCGCTCGCAGCAGCTCTCTCCGGGGACGGCGTGCGCATTAGCAACGCCGCTGCTCTCCGGGGGTTCCTCGCCTGGTGGAGGACCGCGGTGTTCTCTCGTCTCGGTGCGTTCGGACTCGCCCGAGCTCCTGGGGCGCTGTGCGGTACCGGCAGCTGCCCGGAGGGATCCCCAGCAGCCCCTTCCTGCAGCGCCTTTGCAGCTCCTGATTTATTTATTTTAATTAAAAAGTGAGCACCGATGTGGCTGTGCTCTGTAGCCTTATTTCTGTGGGGGTGTCGGGGTGATGTGATCTACCCTCGGCACGGGGGCAGCCCGGGGGGGCTGCACGGGGCACAGTGTCCTCAGCAGTGTCCCCTGCTGCTGCTGGGTCCTCCTGTGACCTCTCCCCCATCACTCATAGCAATGCTTTCTCCATTTATTTTGGAAGTATTTCCGGATACTGGAAGCCTCAGCCCAACTCCTACCTGGCCATTCCTGGATTAGGCACCGGCAGCCAAAACTCAGCATTGAAGCTGCCTTCAGTCTGAGGAGCTGAACGCCAGCAGGTCCGTGTCACTTGCTCAGGCGGGCACAGCCTGTGACAGCTTTTAACTCTGCTCTTCTGCAGGGACCTCAGCACCCTTCAGTCTGGATGGCCTCAGTCCTCCCCGAGACCAGCACCCAGAGGCCCTAACAGTGCCACCATCACCACAGTGCCTCTGCCATGGGGGAGCTGAGAAGGCCCCACGGCCTCTGTGCCCCCAGCAAGACACCCCACCAGGGAGGCTGAGCTGGCTGCAGAGGGGCTGCAAACACCTCAGCCCAGGCACTGCCTTCCCCCTGGCTCCAGGGCATTTCAGGTTTTACTAAAACAAACAATAAATCCTGTGACATCCCCAGGGGCTGTCAGCAAAGGTTTCCAACAGCACTTGGAGCAGAAAGAAGCTGGGGTTGGACCTGGGGGCACCAGCCCTGCAACAGGATCCTTGGCATCGTGGTATGGAAACAATTGCCTTTTCCTTTATTCTTTT